CGTAATGGAGCCACTTTGCCATCAGTGACATCCCTGCAAGGTTTAGTGAAGCCATGTAGAAGATCCATGAGAAGTGGGTGTCACCACGGGTTTGAACAGCTGTGCAATGAGTAAAACAGTCACTTGAAAGATGAGAGAAATCCTGGAAGTCAGCTCCTCGCAACAGTCCCTTGCCAAGGAAATAGCAAAGGCGGGGAAACATATGACAGCTGCAGGTGCTCTCTCCAGGGACAAAGACTAAAGAAAGACCATTTCTGGTATGTATTCAAGGGTGTGATCCAGTGGTTTAATAGAAAGTTTGCTGTATTAAAAACATGCCAAATTAGGCCTAAAATGGGATTACAACTGAAAATGTCATCTTGTTTTCTGCAGTTTGGACTAGTAAACAGGTCAGCTGCGTGCCCCTGTACTTCGTAATTCACTCTCAGGCTCCCTTTTTTTGGCTGGCCATACTTGTATGTGGTACCGGCTTAAGGAACATAACTCTTCTACATCTTTAAAACACTTGGCCAAACCCTTTTCAACCTTGCACCTCCTGTAGTTTCCCTCTCTGCAGTCGCACCAGCTCGGTGGATTTAAACGAACCATGCAGACACATTTTAAGTTCAGTAACTGCCTCTGGACAAGTCCAAACAAAGGAAAGCGTAATGTGAGCTTCTGCTGCTCTCCAGTGGAAAAATCACACAATTGCCGGTGGTAGAATTTCACTGCTCCACTCATTTTTGCCTTTTTAAAGCATGTTCTTCCCTAATCCCACTCTGGCAGGCAAGGTCCGTTGAGCAGCTGTGAGATCTTTTATTAGACCAACTGAGTAGTTGGAAAAAAGTTCTCAGCAAGCTTTCAGGCGTAGTCACCCACTCTTGCACACGATAACTGCGTCACAGAGACACAGGACTGGAAGGGACTTCCTGAGGTCATCTATCCAAACCCTCCCATACAAACCATCATCCATTCTAACCTCTGCATAAGAGGACCGTCAACCCTGACGGCACACACCTAACCCCCTAACCTGCCATCACAGCAGCCAGCGTCCTGCTTCTATGAAATGTTGTCCCTATATGCTCAGGAGATCCCGGGACTGGGCCATTCCCATCCCTCAGTTACACCCCAGGAAGAAGTCGGGCTTTTTGTGCTCAGAGGCCGGCCAAGTCCCACGGGCGCAGCACTGGTCTGGGAGCCGTGAGCCCTCAAATCTAGTCCCAGGTCTGCCGGTGACTTCATCCCAAACAAGTCCCTGCGCCTCCAATGAATTCTCCAGGCGGGGGGCGGGGCCCGCAGGGCTCGGTTGCGTCACAATCGCCCGGGCTGTCTCAGAATTCCACGACGTCACCTTCCCGCCCCGAGACATTCCCAGGATCGGCCCCGCCTCTTCCCCAGCCAGCGCCCCTCCCCCTGTGACGTCACGGCCAGCGCCCCTCCGCCCGTGACGCCACTGTCCCGCGCCCCGCCCCGGTGAGGTCAGTGCCGTGC